GGTAGACCCTTACAGGATTATGTCAAGCGATTCAAGTCCAAAATCACAGACGAGCAACAAGCGTTCAAGGGATACGCCAACACCTACTCGGTAAGTGATATAAGATTAAAGGGGTTGAAAGGTTTATCCTACTTAAAATACCAGAAGCAACGACTGGCCGAATTCCTGAACAGAAACCCGAACATGAAAATAATCGTGGAAACCGATTTATCATTCAAAAATCCCGACAACGAACTTATTCAAAGGCGGTTAAGAAGCAGAAGATACAATATTCATAATCCCGACGAGTTGAACACCGTCTTAAACAACATTGGGCACGACATTGAGACACAAATTGAAGTAGTCGAAGACGTTCAGTCGAGTTGGTTCTTGTCCAAGTTGAAAAGTTAGTCATCAGTTATGATAGGTACAATCCTACCCGTGGTTCATCCTTTATTCCATTGCCCGACTGGGTGGCAAACAAAAAGGCTTGTATTAACATTAAAAATGAGGACGACTTATGTTTTAAATATTCCGTTCAATGTGGATTTTATGAGTTATTCAAAAAAGACCATCCCTGCGACATGTATCATTATAAGAAATATGTAGATGACAAATTTATCAAATGGGATAATATTGACTTTCCAGTAGGTAATGATGAGATTGAACTATTTGAAGAACAGAACAAACACATATCGGTCAATGTTTATTACATAAACCCCGATACAAATAGTAAAACTATTTTATTATACAAAAGAAGCAACAACCCACAAGCACAACACAAAATCGATTTGATTAAATTGACTGATGATGTTAAATCCCATTACGCTTATATCAAAAATTATGATAAGTTAATGAGTAGTCAGACTAACAAGATGAAGGCGAAGAAGTATCACTGTAGAACCTGCTCACATGGTTTCAAGACCGAAGAACTTTTAAAGAAACACGAAGAACAGGGATGTCTAGCAGTTGAGGGTCAAAAAATAGAAATGCCAGAAGCAGGTGAAACAATAGCATTCAAAAACCATTTCAAGAAGCTTAAAGCTCCATTCGTAATCTATGCCGACTTTGAATGTTTAACTGTGCCAATTGATGTTAAAAGCAAATCGGCAAAAGCTAAAACTACATCATATCAAAATCATCGTCCGTGTGGTTTTATGATTAATGTAGTCAATGCTATAACCGGAAGTAGTGAGCCTTACTTATATAGAGGTGAAGATTGTATGGATGTGTTTGTAAAAAGAATGCATAAAGTGAAATGGGATGTTTTTGAGAAAATGAAGGAGGTCAAAGACCGTATTGAAACCGAGGAGGACTGGGAGGACTTCAATAATGCCACTAACTGCTTCATTTGCGGAAACAAATTTGAGGAAGGAGAAAAGAAGTGTTGGGACCATTGCCACTTTACGGGACAGTATAGAGGTTGTGCCCACGAGGACTGTAATCTTCGATTTAGTATGAGATATTATAAAATCCCTGTGTTTCTTCATAATCTTAAAAACTACGATGCCCACTTAATCATCAACAAGGCTCACGAACTGAACAAGAATTCTAAAATAGAATGTATCGCTCAGAACAGCGAAAAGTTTATAACCTTTGGTTTTTAAAATCTTTACTGGATAAACCGATTTTCTTAGGAATGAGCATTTTAGATTTAAGCAAATTACATATGTATCAGTTTTACTATGATGTATTGAAAAAGAAGTATAATGAAAACATCAAATTGATATATACTGATACTGACAGTTATGTAATTCAAACAATGACTGATGATGTCTATAAGGATTTCAATGATATAAAGCAACACATGGATTTTAGCGACTATCCACCTGAACATCCATGTCATGACAAAACTAACGGTCTTAGGAATGTTTAAGGATGAATGCTCTTCAAAGATAATTACCAAATTCATAGCTCTCAAACCAAAGTCATATGCTTTTACAATACACGGTGAGGATGATGAACATAAAAAGTCAAAAGGTGTAGTAAAACACAAGGTGAAAAAAGAACTGTCGTATCAGAACTACCACGAAGCATTATATCAAAACAAAAAGCACGAAATCACATATAATTTTATTAGGAGTAAGTCGCATCAAATATATTCAATGTCTCAAGTCAAGCAATCACTCAGTAATTATGAAAACAAAAGGTTTTATATTGATGCTTTCAATTCATTACCATATGGGCATCATTCCATAAAATAATTATCTAAATAGTTCTAATAATATGAAATTATTAGAATTAATTTCTCCATAATCTTTACCAAATATAGTTAAAGAATACATTGTATCTTATAATAATCAAGACTATGGAAAACATAGAAGCAGAAATCATCAAGGGTCAAATCTATGTCATCAAAAACACATTGAACAACAAAATATACATTGGAAGCACTAAACAAACACTACACAAACGGATGGCAAAGCATAGGCATGATGCTAAACATTGTGGAAAAATGCTGATACATCAAGAAATGAACAGACTTGGTATAGACAATTTCTTCATTGAGCATTTGGAGAATTTTGAATATCACAACTTACAACAACTACGAAAAAGAGAAGGTGATATAATAGCTGAACAGCAGGCAGAACTAAATGAAAGAAAGGCAGGAAGAAACAAACAAGAATATTACATAGATAAAAAGGACATGTTCAAACAGCGATATTTCAACAATATTGATACAATAAAAGCACGCGACAAAGAACGCCATGAAAGAGACAAAGACAAAATCAATCAACGAAAGAAGAAACACCGTGAAACACATATAGAGACATACAAAGAAAGAGACAAACAGTATTACTACGAGAACAAAGAAAAGCGACTACAAAACCACAAAGCGTATGTTGAAGCAAACCCAGAGAAAATAAAAGATTACTATCACCAGTATTACCTAAAAAACCGTGAAAAGAAACAGGAATACAATAGACTACGCTACAACCAACTGAAGCTGGAGAAGGAAGCGAACAAGGCTTTGGACTAACATAACAACTTGGAAACCCAAACCATTATGTAAAAGGGATTGTGGTAAGATAAGAAATGGGAAACATTTAGAAACTGCTCAACGCTTGCCACCAAAAACTAAGGCGGAATGGGGTGATAATCCTATATTTCATAAACAGGAAGAATTATATAAAATACCGTTTGAATTAGTGTTAGACATCCTCTGTAGTTTGGAATGAAAACCGAGTTAATCATCTCGTGGGGTCTCCAAGGTGTCCCCAAAATGGGGGACGGGGTGTCCCCAAAATGGGGGACTGGGTGTCCCCAAAACGGGGGATTAGAGGACTGGGTGTCCCCAAAATGGGGGACTGGGTGTCCCCAAAACGGGGGATTAGAGGACTGGGTGTCCCCAAAATGGGGGACTGGGTGTCCCCAAAATAGGGGACCGTGTCTCGTTGAAATGAGAGTAATTGAATAATGATACGGTGGAATAGGACTATGGAGAGGATAAGTGAATTAGTTTATTCATAATATTTAATTATAATATGGTTAAACATTGTTTTATAATCTAACAAGAAGGTTAAGACATTTAAATTAAACCTGAAACCCAGACCAGCCGACCAGCAACCCCCTAGCCAAAACTACTTAAAGAAATATTACCTTATATATTAAGAGAAAAATGAACGGTGATGGAATCAATAATTATATCGATAAAAAATGCTATGATTGTTGTCACTTCAAAAAAGAAAATATGGAATTGTATAAATTGAGTTTACCTAATGAAATAGTGAATAATATTATTAATTATTCAATGGATGAAAAAGACGAATGTGAAAATTGTCAGGAATGGAGAGATAATCAATTTTTAATCAAATGTCTGTTGAGAATAAAAGGAAGACATAATAGAAATGTAGAAGATGATATTTTAATATTTCTAACTGTAAATAAAATACCACCTTACGATTATGTTAAACAGTTTCTTAAAATCAGTAAGAAAAAATATGACATGATTTATGATATATTATGGATGTTGGGTTATAGTCAAGAGAAAGGAGAAGATGTTAAAGAAAATATCAAATTATTTATTGAAAGTAAAAAGTTTAATGTTCAGAATACAGTGAGAGATGTTAATATTATTTTTAAAATGATGTATGAAAGAAGTAAGACAAACCAATTAGATTATTATCCTGAACTGAAATTATAATCATAATATAATAATAACATGTAAAATCTTATATGTTATAATTATACTGAACTTTTAACCTATAACACCCCTTAAACTCATCTAAAGAAATAACCCCTTAAACATATAGAGACCAATGACAGACAAAAAGCAATGTTCCAAATGTAAAGTCTTTCAATTGTTAGAAAAGTTCAACGAAGGAAGAAAACAATGTAATGTATGCTTGGAGAGCAAACGGCGGTATAGAGAAGCACACAAAGAAGAAATACAGCAAAAGTCAAAGGAGTATTACGAAAACAACAAAGAGCAGATTGTAGAGAAGAAAAAGACATATAGAGAGAATAACAAAGACACTATACTGGAAAAGAACAAGATTTATCGTGAAAAGCATAAAGACGAAATAAAGCAAAAATCAAAAGAATATAGAGAAAAGAACAAAGAAGACATAAATGAAAAACAGAAAGACTATAACCAATTGAAAGTAGAATGTCCTTTATGTAAATGTATGGTAGGAAAATACAAAATGAAAAAACACCAACAAACAAGTAAGCACCAACTAAGAGTGAAAGGTCAAGAAAACAATAACGATACTGTGAGAGATTACATGGAAACAACAAGTGACTTTGAACAAGAATAGGAATAAATAAATGAACCACCAACACCCCAGAACATAATAACTACTAAAAGGGCTACCTCTTTCAAATGAAAAAAATGTCGGCCTCCAGAAAATCCACCCCTAACACCCTACAACAAAATATAGGAAGAAATCAAACAAGGGTGTTAAAACGTTGGATAACAACACTTGACCCAATAACCCCAACACTCCTCCCTCTTCCCCCCAGGCCCCCTCTTTTCTCCATTTTTTGGGGGGCGGGGAAGGGTTTTTCCGCGTCAGGGCGCGTCACCAGCACGTCCTGCAACCTCGGCTCTTCGAGTTCCACGGCGCTGCGCAGGGCCGCCCACTCCTGCGGCTGCTGGGCGGCGCCCGATTTTTTTTTGGGCGCGGAGGGAGACCCAATTTTTCCCCCCAAAAACCGAAGAAGGACACCCATAGATCTGAACTTGCAGGTGGCAAAATTGTAGCCCCCTGCTCGAAAAATACCCGCGTTTCGCGGGGTTTTTCAACCCCAGCTGGAAGCTTTGGGGTCGATGAGCCCAGGCTTCGGGCTGGTCAGAAAGCCCTGAGGACAGGTTCCACCAGGGTTCCACGAGGTTCTGCGAGGGCTGCGGGGCGGTGCGAGCACTAAAAAGAGCACCGCATGCTGTTGGGGATATCACCTGAGCTTATTTGTTGGTTGCTGCTGATCCCTCTGCAAAAAGTTTCACTTTTTGTGGGTTTAGTGGAAAACGCCTTGATTTCCCAAAAAGTTCAAGTATCCAACCCAATAGCAGTCAACTGTTGGAGGGAGACCCGTTTTTTGGATGTGTGGATCCGTTTTGTGGGGATGTCGTTTGGATGAAACGCTTTTGGAGATGCATATTTTTTGGAGGCGACACACCTTTGGTGCTTCAGGAAAACAACAGAGCGACTGATGGGAGGAAACACATGGTTCGCTTTGTGGCTCAACGACTACCCCAAGCCGTCCCACTCGTGCTGAACAATCTGAAACTCTGCACAAGAAAACATCCAATCAGACGTTTATGTTGTGTTTTTCAAGATACGGGAATTCACAAAAATTTGTGAAATACCTCGTTGATGCCCCTTTAAACGCCAATTTTACAACAGGAGTCAACCCCAATACTTTCTCCTCAAACATCACCTGTTTGCCGACCTTTATTGAGTCACCTTCGGCTGGTTTTGCCGAATCCTGATGCATTCCTCAGGCCGAATGGGGGACTCAGCCAAGCAAAACAAAAGCGCCAACTTTGGGCCGAGAGGGAAAGTCGAACCAAAATTGCCACCAACCCAACTCGGCCATCGGCCAACAACACTACAACAAAAAAGCCAAACTACGGCCAACAACACTACCTAAAAACAACGGCCAACAACACTACTTTAAAAAAAAAAAAAAAAAAAAAAAAAAAAACGGCCAAAAGGCGATCGCCGCCCCAAAACCCCCCAGAACCCCCCTCCTGCAGCGCCCGTTTCGGGGGCTGGTCCTCCAAGGCCCGCCGCGCCTCTTCGCCGCCCACGAAGCGCGCCAGGCGCTCCTGGCGCTGGCCCAAAAGAACCGCGCCACGGGACTGGTCGCCTCCAATGGCTTTTTGGTCCCCTGGGAAAAAAAGTAAGTCCAGTAGTGATAGATTCCCTTTAAAACTAAAACCAACAGGGGAAAATAAGAAATAGTTTTGGACCAAGTGGAAGTTCGGCTTCCCTCCTGGTGGTTGTTGCAGGTTCAGGGTACTTTGGAGGTGGATTTCCGGGGTGGTTTGGAGGTGTTCCGAGACGATGTCCCGGGTGTGTGGCAGCTTCCCTCCAACTGCTGGTTCGGAGGGTAAGTCTGGTTTCGGCTCGGGGTGTCCCACTCACCCTGGACAAAACCCGGGGGTTCAAATGCCACCGCGGATTTGACGAAGATGCATCCCTCGAACTTTGCAGGTTGGGGTTGGTTTGGTGTTCCGGGATGATTTCCCAAATTGCCCTCTACCAGCAGGGGTTCAAATCCGCAAACCACCAATCCGAAGCACCAGCTAGGGGTTACCTGAGCCGTCAAAACACTGGAAGACACTGAACTTGAGCCTTTGCTGGGACGTGGATTCCGGATACAGCTGGATGTATGCGTGTGTGGGTGGAAATTAGAAATGGAGTCCCTGTTCGCTGCTTGACCAACCCGCACAAGAAGGAACTGGACATCCTCTTCGCCCTGGAAGAAAGAAAAAAAGGAAAAAAAAACGAATTGTGCTCTTCTTTGACATGTGAGTGTGTCTCTTCTCGATGCGAGTTGCCATTTTGGGGTTGTTTTAAAGGAACGCGAAAGGACCATCAACCATGTTGGAGGTCCCCCTATGATGTGTTTGAGCTCATGCTGTGCTTCACAAGAGCCGGTTGGCAGCCTTGTAAGATCAGGAGGGCTCAAGTGAACAAAACGGCTCGCGGATTCGCTTTGAGAGGCCCCGAGCTGCAAGGGCCCGTTCGGCATTTTCCTGTGGCAACCGCCAACTTGGGGGACCCCCCTAAATCGCGGAACCCACAAATCGTTTGGAACCCCAAGTTCCTTTTGGTCTCCCTTTACAACCAACCAGAGGAAGGTGGCTTAACCCCCTGGCGCAGCTCGGGTCCAAGTGACCTGTAAAACATGACTTGGGTTGCTGCTTCCAATCAAACAGCAAAGCCGGATAGCAAATGAACGGGGCTGGCCCAGTTTTTGTCCTATGAAAGTCACATTTCGAGATTTCCAGATGCCGGGTCATATTTAGCAAAATGATACCATTTGAGAGGCGACACTCCAAAGAAAGCCGGCACCAAGTCATACTGAGGCAGTTGGGAGTTGAGTGTTGGGGGTTCCACGCGGGGCGGGAGCGAACTCGGTCTGCCACAAAGTGAGGGACCCCAGTTCGAAAGGGAACCAACTCACGGAGTTGAGTGTTTGATCATTCACACAAACCTTCCATGACGCCAAGTGCTGGTTTTGGCCTCTTGCCCGTTTTTGCCGTCTGCTTTTCACTTCTTTGCCACGCAGGACGTCTGATTTTTTTTGCCAGCCAAACCTCTCCTTGTTCTGCTCAGTGGGCTCAGAGTGCCAGATGAGCAGAAGCGCCTGGGCGTACAACTTGGCGTTGATCCAAGTGATCTTGCCGATCCTCTCGCTGAGCATTTCATCTATCTTCTCCGCCGCTGCCTCAATGTGGGTGGGGGAAAAAAAAAAAACGAGAAAAGCGTGCGCGATCCGCATGGAGAGCGGAGCTCTCTGAGTGTGAAGCACATTGCTGGGTGGCAACCTTTGATCTCTCTTGATCCCATAGGAGAAAATGCAGAAGAATGCCCTGAATGTCTGGTCAGTTGCAGGAAGCCGAGTTGAGAACAACAAATACATCAAACCCGCTCTACCCTTGATGTCACGGGCCAAATTGTTTACCCTATTGCGAAAAGGCGAAGGGCTGAGCCAAAAGGGAAGCGACGCCAAAGCAGCTGGGATGCTTCCCAAAGCAACGTCTCTCAGATTTGCCCATCCTACCAAAAGGGAACTCACTTCTGGCTCAAAAGGTGACGTTAGAACTCCAAAAATGTTGGCAATTCCGTAAAGTCGACAGATCCCCAACATGCTTGAGCCTTGTTTCCGCTTGAAGACCTTCCTGTTCGGAAAAAATCAAAAAACTTGCCTTGACGTGTCACGTGAAATCCGGAAGCCCTCCTCTGCAGGCCAGTGGTTTGGCACCGGCCGCTTGAGCCGTTTGCTTTCGGTGCCACTGAAGCAGGGGGAACAAAATAGCACGCCGCGTCGGCCTGTGGATGATGTTTCTTCCTTTGCCACCCCCACCCAAATAAAAAAGAAGAAGAAACCGATACATATATATATATATAACACGCAAGGAACTCCCAAAACCTCACACACAGGAGAAAAACTCTCCCCCAAAAAAAACAAACAAACAAAAAACGAAAAAGAAACAAGACCGCCCCCACCACGCCTTTGGCTCGCCGGCGAGGAGGTAGGCCCTGGCCAGGGCATTGTAGGTGGACTCGATGGGCTTCACCTGAAAGGCGAAACGCAAAACGGGGAACTTGGAACACAAACCTCAGCCCTGGTGGTTTGGAGGTTGGGAGGTGTTCTGGGCTGGGGAAAGTATAAAGTAGCATCTACAACACCCAGGGGGTCAGCAACCAAACCAAAGGGGTACCTGAAGAGCTGTCGGATCACATAGAGCGGGATTTGTTTTGATTTCCAGGATGGGCTCCTGGAATCTCTGCCAAAGCCGGGGGTTACCGGGTTGGGGGTTGCCGCGGTAAAGCGACAAGGCGGGGAACCATCTGACAAGCAAAAGCAGACTAAGGGGGGAACAGCCATTAACTAAAGCCCAAAAGTAGACCTTCTTCCAGCAATCATTGAAGCGGACAAGCAGCCTTTTCAAGAGGAGTGCTCAAAATCCCTCCTGTCTACTTCCATTGTTGTTGGGGAGACGGTAACCAGTTGGGAAACCGCAATTTCACAACCAAAGTTGGAGCATCCACAACTGGATACGTCCTCAAATGGCTCTCGCAACTGGGAGCCTGAGCGAAGGATGTCTAACACTGCAAGATCGTGAAACGGGAAACACCCTGAGGCTTTACATATATATATATATATATATATACATTTGCATTATGCTTTGCGGCCGACAATTGGCTTCCCACGCAGCCCAACGCAATCCCCCGCCAACCCCCGGCCCACACCCGCTCCGTCACAGGGACTCTCAGAGTCCATTTTGCAAAGTCCCCCTAAAAAAACACCAAGCAAAAAGATGTAAACAACCATACCCCAACCAAAAAGGCTGCCAACCCCCCAATCACCCTCAGCCACCCCCAGCCATCCCCCACCCCCCTCCCAACCCTCAGCCCCAGCCCCCCGCCTGGCCACCCAGCACCAGGCGCGCCCAGAGCAGCTCTGCGCGCGCGAGGTCCAGGCGCCCCGCGGCGCAGTCCAAGAGCGCGCCCAGCAGCACCGGGCTGACCTTCCCCGCCTGGCACCAAAGTCGCTCGCTGGCGATGCGCGCCTTTGTCTTTGCGCTAGTTGTTTGTTGTTGCTTTGCGTTGTTTTCTTCGGTGTGTGTGTGTGTGGTTGTTTGTTTTTGCTATTTTTCTGCTTTTTGGGAGGGGGGAGGGGAGGGGGGCGGGCGGGCGCTGTCTTTTTGTTTGTTGTTGCTGTTGTTGTTGTTGTTGTTGTTGTTGTTGTTGTTGTTGTTGTTGTTGTTGTTGTTGTTGTTGTTGTTGTTGTTGTTGTGGTTGTTGTGGTTGTTGTGGTTGTTGTGGTTGTTGTGGTTGTT